AATGCAACAACTATACATACATATTTCTGAAAAAGTTTGTAAAGTTGCATTGATGAAGCATCTAGAAGGGCCTTCAGAGCAGCAGTTTAATAAAGAATGAATTTATAAAAGGGTCAACAATATTATTTTTCTGTTGTTTCAAATTTATTTTTCTCCTTCTAGAAATTTTGTTAGAGTAACAAAGTAACAATAACGAAAAGTGGTGAACGTTTGACCTCAGACAAGTAGATTGTCTCTAAAAAAAATTATGTATATTGTTGTGGTGTAAATTTTTAACGGTCTTAACATATTTATAACTAATATTGATTATCGAAAACTTTTATATAATTTGTTTTTAACAAGGAGTTATTCTAACCATAAAATTATCAGTTCTATATTTTTCATGTACAAAAAAATAGAAAAAAAAATGTTAAATCGCTTCATATAAACATCACTCAGTTTTAACAAGACAATTATATCATCAAACATATATTATGATAAATTATGTAAAAGATAAAAATGATTAGATATCAAGATATTTTTAATCATTCATTATATATCTAAAATTCTTGAGATATGTGATATTGACAAATCATTTAATTTCTATTGAAATGTTCTTAAAACCTACTAAAATTTACATTTTTTTTCTTATAACAGTCGATTAAGAGAACCCTAGGCTCGCTTACGTGGCGCCACCACAAACCAGGATTCCCTTTTAACTTATTTATTTCTAAAACTAGCCTTCCCTTTTCGTGAAAAATTGTGACTTTTATGAAAAAAATTGACTTTTATGAAAAGTTGTGACTTTAATGAGAGTTGCGACTTTTATAAAAAGTTGTGACTTTTATGAAATGTTGTGAACTTTCCGAATGGTTGCACTTTTCCAAATAGTTGTAACATTTCCGATAAGACACAATAAACATTTGTTCACACTACCCTTTGTTATCTATAAATAGAGGGATTTCCTCCCATTTTAAAACAACGAAAATTCTGAACCTCCTCTTCTTCTTCTTCTACACAATTAAATATTCGTATACTTTGCTTATGTTGAGTGGCTCACTGACACCATTGCTTATGTTACAGATTCTGATATGTATTTTACAGTCATTAATTTATGTTTATATTATTAATGATAAATTATTAGATGTTATAATATTTATTTTCCTTTACATTATTAATGTTTGTTACTACGTAACCTTGTATGTAAGATAATATAATGTTTTAGTTTTAATGACTGATAGGTTTGAAGTATTATTTTATAAATTTCGTGATATTGAATTCCGGTAATTTTACTAGTTAAGGTAAGTTGTTTGGTAGAAGGGATAAAATTAGGGGTTAAACACGAAGGATAGTGCTCGTCATATATCAATCATCCCTAGGCTCAAAAAGTACTTATTATACGAACTCTCCAATGTGCCTGTGTATACATACATATATATGATCTAGATAAAGATTCAGAATCCATTAAAGGGTCTCTAGCAAAAAGTGAAAAGACGTGCGTTAGAGATTTTTTTTTTTGTTCGTCTTAAAGAATAAAATAAAGTGTATGAAAAAGGGTTAAAGTGCCTTGAATTATGGGAAACTGAACAAAAATGCACTCAATTAATCGTTGGTGTTAAAATATCCTTATCGTCAATAGTTAAGTCCAAAAATGTCCCTATTGTTACTTAATGGTTAAAAAATGCTCCTTTCTAATGAATATATTACTATTTTTTTTTTTTAATCACATTTTATTTCTAATAAAAATATTAAATTTGTTTTTTTTTTTAACCTCCCCTAGAGCTCCCACCCCTTTTGCTCCCTTGGTGACTCGAACTCGCAACCTTTAGATTGGAAGTGAGGGGTGCTTACTAGGGGTGTGCATTCGATTTTTTGATTTGGTTTTATACTATTCGGTTTGAATTTTTTGATTTTTGGTTTTGAAGAAGTGTAATCCAATCCGAACCAAAATAAATTTGGTTTTTCTCTTTTTGGTTTGGGTTTTTTTCGATTTGGTTAATCTATTATGTCAATAATTAGAAACATAACAAAGTTATATTTGCAATTTAAACTTTATATATATATAATATTGAATTTCTTAAATATACTTTTTAATATAAATCACAAGTAAAACGTAAAACACAATACTTAAAAGTATATCAATTATAGATGTCCAAACATAAAAAAATAAACTAAATCATAATGAAAATAACTAAAAAGGGACAAAAGTGGTTAACTCCAACTTAATTCTAAACATATACATACATACATACATATATACATATATACATATACATACATATATATGTATGTATGTATGTATATACATACACATATATAATTCGGTTTTTTTTATTTTTCGGTTTTCATTTTTCTAAATCCGAAACCAAACCAAAAAACCAAACAAAGTAAATTATAAATCCAAAACCAAACCAAAAATCCAAAAAACCAATCCAAATTAGAATTCAGTTTGATTTGGTTTGGTTTTTCGATTTAATCCAAATAGTGCACACCCCTAGTGCTTACCATCCCAGCAACTCTCTCTCATCTTGTTTCTTTTATTTTAAAATCACTTTCTCTACAAAATAAGTAGAAAATAATCTTAAATAATATTTTTTTCTTCTTAATTTCATCAATTAATATAAAATAACTATATGTACCTTTTTAACTGACAATATAGGTCAAATATATAAGATCATAATAACCCCAACCCATTATAATTTCATTTTGGTTTTAGATAATTTCTTTTTTGATAAAATAGAAATATTTGTATTTTCTTAATTTTTTTTTAATTGAAGTAGGATAAACATTTCCTAATAAAAATATATATTATTAGAAGAAAAAAAACATGTTTAAAAAAGAAAAGAAATATTATATTTATTTGAAAAATAACATTTTTAACTCTTTAAGTAATAGTAGGAATATCTTTTTAACCAAACTAGTGACGACAAGAGCCTTTTTAGACTAGACTATCGATCGAGGGCATTTTGTTCAATTTCACATAATTCAAAGATGTTTTTGACCCTTTTTCATAAATCTTATATGAAATCTGATCACATCCACCTTGAGAAGTATGGTAACACGAGAAAGACAACTTGATCGAGAATGATAATCAAATAAATATATGATTGTGCGTCTGACAAGTTAATCATTGCCTTCATTTAAAAAAGAATGACCTATATTCTTTTTTAGTATTTTTCAAAAAGAACAATCTCTTTCCATTTTGGGTAAAACTTTAATTTCAACTTTTTCTGTGACATATTTAAATCCAGAAGATTAAAGAACATATTTGATATATTTGACAGAACTTTAATTAAGGAGCGCAACATTAAAAAGTAATTTTTATTTTCTTGAACCCAATTTCAAATTAAATTAGATTATTCTTTTTGAAATCGTGAGAGTATAATATTGAAACGCTGCAATAATCAAAACTTCAAAGTCTGATATGAACAAATAGTCGACTAGCACTACGTACCAAAATGATTGATGGCATACCAACTTGCAAGAACAAAAAGTCAACCGAAAACTTCCATGAACCTCAACATATTTATACATAGGGGTGTCAAATGAGCGGGTTGAGTTGAAATTGAAGATACTAAAATGGGTTGAAATAGAAATTGGATTGGGTCTTGACCCGCCCAAGTTTACTTTGGGCTCAAATGGGCTAAAAAATGGGTTGGGTCTTGACCCGATTAATCTCAATATAATTTTAACATAGTGATATTTAACTTTTATAATCACAATTCGAATTTCAGCTCAATTTTTTTTATAAAAAAAAAGTAACAAATGGATAGATAAATCCTAAAAGGTGTTAAATAGATAATAATTCATACCTTTAATAGAGGAACATATCTTAATAAAGAGTTTTAAAACGAGTTGAAATTGGAGATTCAATTGAGCTCAATTGAGGATTTTCTTAAAATGGGTTAGGCTTGAATGTGTTGAGATTGAATCTATGTTTCACATATAAGCAAACAAAAAAAATCATATTTGTATGCTATAGCAAAATTTGCATAATTGCGCTCCATAGCAAACATATAAATGTATAATTCGCTATACATATATACAAAAAGAAGCAATTGTATAATTCGTTGGCTCCTCTTCAGAATTGTATAATTTCGTTGGCAGGCCATTTGTATAAATTGTTGTTAGTCTCTCGTTTGTATAAATCGTTGACAAACATAAATTATACATTATACAAGCATAAAACTGGGCAGGGGAATATTTTTATTATATAATTATAAGTGTATAGAACGAATATATATGTATTTGCATGTGTATATACAATTTTCTCGCGTATTATACAAACAGAAACGCAATTTATACAATTCTGTTGTATAAAACGAGAAAGAGAGAAAGACAAAAGAGAACTGGGCAGGGGAATATTTTATTGTATAATTATAAGTGTATAGGACGAATATATATGTATTTGCATGTGTATATACAATTTTCTCTCGCTTTATACAAACAGAAACGCAATTTATACACTTCTGTGTATAAAGCGAGAGAGGCGAGCACAGAGAGAGTGAGCAAGAGAGGAGAGTGGCGAGCGAGAGTTTGAGGGAGAGAGGCGCTGGCAAACAGTTTGCTACAAGACACAATTAAATCAAAGTGTGATTATATCATTTAATTTGAATTAATAGTTTGTCATTATGTACATCTTAAAATTTTGGGCGGGTTGAAAGGGTTATCTATGTTTGGGTTCATTTTTGACACCCTTTATACCTAGTGAATACGAAGATGCTCGACGCCATTTTAGTCAAAGTCAAAAACATGAAGATGCTCGGCGCCATTAGTACGTAGCCCATGGATAACAGCTAGTCAGTCAATAAGATAAAGATGTTTAAATATACTTTTGCATAACAATTTGGCCAAATTGTTAATTAATGTCGGAGACGACTTAGTAAAAGAAAAAGAAATTATGGAAGCAAAGTCGTCTAAAGGAAGCAACGTGACCAAGTTATTGCATCGTATAGTTGAATTAAAATATCTATAAATGTTTATCACTTGCAGCTACCTAAGCTAACTCTCTAATATATATCCATTATATTGCAGAACAAAATTACAAGAAAAAAAAAATGGGAAGACAAAACCGGGGTACAAATGCGGGACCTCAAGATAAACAACACTTCAGCCATTCCCACATCTTGAAACTAATTGTGAATCCATCTGAAACAGTACTCCCTTGCAATGCTTGTGAGCAACCAAACAATACTAACAAACCTTTCTATGGCTGCAACACCTGCCAATATTCTCCATGAAACTGCTTCAATGCTCCGCGTTTTCTCAATCACGCGTCTCATCCTTCCCATCCCTTGACCCTTCTCCCAAGTGCGACTTATTCGAGTTGTTCCTTTACTTGCAAGGCTTGTGACTCTGCTGGCAATGTACTTTGCTTTAGCTGTGCTTGTTGTGAATTTGATATCCACTTACAATGTGCATCTCTTTCGAGTTTTATACTTGTTGATAAACACCCGCATCAATTGGAGCTCAACTTCGGTTCTCCTTACGAAGACAAGGATAGTGAATATGTTTGTGATATCTGCAGTAAAATAATGAACAAGGAGAATTGGTTGTACTATTGCGGTGGCTGTGATTTCGCATCACACTTGCACTGTGCGATAACTAGTCCTGAAGTTGGTGTTTTCGCCAAACAGCAGCGTCCAATTCCAAATCCAAATCCAAATTCAAATTCAAATTCAAATCCAAACCCAAATAGAAATCCAAATGCAAGAGTGGAGATGATAAATTCAGCAAATGAAGCTGAAGAACAGATAATGGCAGCTCAACTTCGTGCTCAGATTGCGGCACGAGGAAGAGAGGCTTGTCTGGACTTGGTGACACCACGAAGACGATACGGTTACTATTAACTCTATCATCGTGATAAGAAAATTGTTTAAGCTCAAACTATGTTGTCTTTTAATTGCAAAATAAATGTTTTGGTGTGTTATTTCTCTTTCTGATCACTCTCTTCAATATCAAATGTTAGTACTATTAATTACTGTTTCCAATTTTATCAGGTGAGTGCAATAATTTAAGTTGTCAATGTTCACTCTAAGAAAACAAAAACAAATTACTGAGAATTATACTAAATTGTTTCTGATAATTCAAATAAAATATTATGCAGATAAACATAAGGGAATTCTAGATTTAAACTCTCACTAACCATCAAGTAATATTTACACATATTTGACAAACTTTTCAATACATATACAAAGTTTGAGTCAAAACTAGTGAGTTTGCCGAAACCATATTTTTTACCGTGCATCTGTCCTTGTTGACAAACAAAATACATTATATTACAAAGTAAAAGGCGCAAAAATAAAATAGGTGCATTTGAACTTGGGCGTAGAATAATAAGATTAAATTTCCAATTTGACTATGCTTTAAGTGTTAGCTTTTCTCTAGTAAACCACTCTCATCGTAACACGATTTGTGCGCAACAACTGACAGTAGAACTAACATGCACTTGCCCGATAACACAAATAGGGGTGTTCACGGTTTGGTTTGGGTCAGTTATTGGTCAAAATCAAAACCAAACCAACTTAATCGGTTTTAAAATTATCAAAACCAAACCAAACCAAATATAATATACATTTATTGGTTTGGTTGTTTTCAGTTTTGGTTTGGTTTGGTTCGGTTATTAACCATACATAAAAATAAAATAAACAATTCATTCAAAACGTGAAAAAAGTAACAACAATTCACTCAAACAAAAAAATAGTTAGAATGGCTGGCATTACAGAACTTTCGATCATTGAATTTACTGAATAAAACTTCAAAATTCACTATTTTGGCATAGAAGGAAGAGACAATGACATTTTCAGCCTTGGACATTTTTTCTTTCATAAGTAAATTATAAAAATAAATTTTGATGAAACATATATAAAATCTTTAAAATTGTTTATGAATATAATATATTATGTATGTATAATAATAAAATTTATGTATATAACTTGTTGGTTCGGTTCGGTTATTTCTTCGATTTTTTTCGAACAAAACCATAACCAAACCAAATACTATCGGTTCTTAACAATCTAAAATCAAATCAAACCAAAACCCAAATTAAATCGGTTCATTTAATCGGTTTGGTTTGATTTTTCTATTTGGATCGGTTTTTATCCAAACCATGAACACCCCTAAACACAAAGGTTAAAAGTGCATTGCTCTGTATCATTTGTTCTAAAAATTCATTGAATGTTAGTATTATAGAAGGGGCAGAGTTAGAGTACTGTCCGTTATAATTTTGGTCGAAGCAATAGCTTTAATTCAAACTACGTATTATTTGTCCTAAAAATTTATTGAAAGTATACAAATTATTAATTTAGAATCTAAAAATTTAACAAGATTAGAATCCAAAAACAACAATCATAAAATTCTAGCTCTGCAAAATCATGACACCAAAAAGGCTAAAAGAATTAAGAAGTGAGAATCAACTTGAGAAGCTCGATAAAAGCCTGAGAATCAAGGGCAAGCCGGTGCAAAAGCATTTTGTAATCACCCATGGTCCGGAAAAGTATCGTACGCCAACGTTCAGAAGATTATCAATACAGATTATTAATTAAGTATTAACCAATAGTCAGCACTAGGATAATGAGTGATAAAATGCCAACTTGCTAGAGCAAAAAGTCTGACAGTGGACTTTTACCATAACATCCATGAACCTCAACACAATTGACTTTCCAAAGTTATCAATTTGCCGAAATCTGTGGATCTTATTTTACAATTTATATCACTGAGACGACAACCTATAAATCTAGATAGAGCTTCTACTCTCTCTTTTTTTCATTCGGTGTTCGGTGTTTGATATTCATATTGTGCCTCACGACTAATTTTGGATTCCCATACGAAAGTCCAACTTTGGGGGTAAAACATTCTCTAACATTAATGGTGATTCTATATATACTCAAGGCTCAAACGTGACACCTGAATAAGAAAATTCTTATCACTCCAATTAGAGCTTATGAGAGAGATAAGAAAATGAACAAGGAAGTTTTAGGGTGTGTTTGGTATGAAGGAAAATGTTTTTCATGGAAAATGTTTTCCTAGAAAATGTTTTCCTGGAAAACAAGTTGATTTTTGACTTATTTTCTCATGTTTGGTTGGTGAGTAGAAAATATTTTCCGAAAAAGATTTTTAGTGTTTGATTTATGAATGAAAAAATATTTTTGAGAAATATCTTTTATTTTTACTAGAGTAGAAAATAATTTTTGAAATTGATTTTTTTTTAAAAAACAAACTTAAATTTTTTTTGGGGCGTGGGGTGGGGGGGTGTGGTAGGGGGTGG